CATGAATAATTTAGAACCTATTATCTACTTTTCAACCAAGCCCTTGACTAGAGGCTTGTAAGTTAATTTTTTTTTTTTTTAAGTAGGCTCCCCCACAACATAGACCTCATCCTCCCAAGTCAAAGTTGCATGCTCTACTGACTGAGCCAGCCAGGCACTCTTGTAAGCTAAGTTTAAAATTCCTTTCTTCTACAGTTTAAAAACTACTCTGATCCAGTCATTTTATTTCTTTTTCTTTAAAAATTTTTTTTTTTTAATTTTATTTATTTTTGAGAGAGAGAAAGAGTCAGAGCACAAATGGGGGAGGGACAGAGAGAAAGAGACACACACAGAATCTAAAGCAGGCTCCAGGCTCTGAGCTGTCAGCACAGAGCCAGACCCGGGGCTCCACCTCACCAGCCATGAGATCATGAAGTGAACAGAAGTCTGACCTGAGCAGAAGTCGGACGCTTAACCAACTGAGCCACCCAGGTACCCCTAGTCATTTTGTTTCTAGTAACCTATGCCAAGGAAAATATATTTGCTGAATGATTTACATGCAGTGACGTTCATAAGAGCATTATTAAACAGCAAGTAACCCAAATGTTCCACACCAGAGTGGTTAGGCACACTCCAGTCCAACCCTAAGGCACATTCACCCAAGTGCTAAGGCCAAAATCCTAGGACTGATCTCTGGGCTGCTTTCTCTCCATCACCGCTCACCACCAGCTCATTCACCCCCTGTAAGCTCTGCCTTCATTTGCATCCTAAAGCCCTTCATTTCTCTCTGCCTTCACAACTACCCCCCAACCCAAGCCATGGTCCACTCTCCTCATCTACATTGGTCTTCCTGGTATCACTCTAGCTTAACTGGAGTCACTTCACACAGCATCCCAAAGTTCAACTTTCAGAGTAAATCCTTTCATGTCATTATCTTATTTAAAACTCTTCAATAGCTTTTTAGTGCCCTTTAGATAAAATCTAATTCACATTTTCCAAATTTTCCACAAGGTACAACTAAAGCTCCTTTTAACAAATGACCACACTGGGGACACCTGGGTGGTTCTGTTGTTTGAGCGTCCAACTTTGGCTCAGGTCATGATCTTGCAGTTCATGAGTTCAAGCCCCACATGGCGCTCTGTGCTGTCAGGGCAGAGCTGGCTTCAGATTCTTTGTCCCCCTCTCTCTGCCCCGAGCTATACCCCGAGCTATACCCCAAGTCTTACTAAGCTAGAAAAAAAAAAAAATGGAACATAGCATATCCCAGAAATCCTATTAATATCCTACAGAACAACTATTTAAATTTGTTTCAGCTATCTTGTTCAACTCTGTGAAGTCTCTAGATACAACCTCTCTATCCTCCAAGACTCAGAAGTTTTCACTCTTACATAAGATACACATTTATACTTAACAAATGCAAAAAAAAAAAAAAAAAAAAAAAAAAAAAAAAAAAAAAAAAAAATCCAGAGCCCTCTGAACTAGGTCATCTTTTCACAGAAAAGAGGCTCAGGCCATAGTCTAATTTGAAATGCTGGTCCCATATGCAAACCCCAGCAAAAGCTGCAGTTAATATTAATTAAGAGCAGAAACATGTTTGTTCTCGAACATTCTTTCACCCAATCAAGTCCAGGATGCTTCCAAACGGAAATCTGCCAATTTTCCTGTACTTGAGATAGGAGATCCAGTACAGAATAAGGTGATTTTTTTAAATGCCACTGTTTGTCCAACCCTTAAAACGGGATTCTCACATCCTTTCAGAGGGAGGTTTCAGCCACTATCACTCAACAAATGGAGACTAATGTCTCTAGCAAACTTCTAATAAAGTTTTAATAAGACTCACTACTAAGCACCAGCAGTGTGTGTGCACCCACATTCATACACATATACACACATACACAGAAAAGCTAATATTCTTTATGACACAATGTAGGACCCACCTCCTGGCAATCTATAATTCTCCCTTCTATTTACTCATGCAATGCATGCACTAAAGAAAATGAGAAACTTGGGGCGCCTGGGTGGCTCAGTCGGTTGAGCAACCGACTTCGGCTCAGGTCAAGATATCACGGTTTATGAGTTCAAGCCCCCGCGTCCGGCTCTGTGCTGACAGCTCAGAGCCTGGAGCCTGTTTCAGATTCTGCATCTCCCTCTCTCTCTCTGCCCCTCCCCCACTCATGCTCTGTTTCTGTGTCTCAGAAATAAACAAACATTAAAAAAATAAAAAAAATAAAAGAAAGAAAGAAAGAAAGAAAGAAAGAAAGAAAGAAAGAAAGAAAATGAGAACCAAAGACTTGGGTGTGAGTCTTCAAATAAAGTCTTTGATTAAGTCTCAGCCTACACTGCTTCAGGCCAATTAGACAAAGTCAAAGGGTGACAGCTATCATAAGACTGACTAATCTCAGATCCATAGTAGGCACAAACTTTTACCATAAATCAAAACTGAACAGAATGGACTCAATTGCTGGAGACTGACTCTTGGATAGTAGACAGAATTTGTGACCCAAAGACCCGTTGAACTCTTTCTATGCATTAAGTACTTTGCCATATCCCTGACCTTGAAGTCTCTTCAGAGGGTACTGGAACATGGTGAAGTTAGAAGTGACAAGTGACACATGATTATCTTAAATACTGCTACAGCCCCCCAGTACCTAGAACACTGTCTGACACATAGCAGGTACTTGGTAAATACAGGATGAATCAGACAGACATTTGCTGTAATGCATTGTAACTGTATGTGACAGCAGCAACAGAATCAACAAAGCCACGCACAGAGGAAAGAAATGAATTCTGCCAGGGCAGGTAAGGGAAGACTTCCAGAAGCAATGAGTAGCCCTTCCCTGGAAGAGCATTTTTTCAGCAGGCAGTGGTTGCAGGAAAGCCATGTGGACAGGAGTATTCCGGAATCAAGGTTGGAGCAGATGGCCTGAGCTACTTTCCAACTCGAATTCCTACCAAGGTTTTCTTTCCGGGGGTTCTGTTATGCTTCCTCATCTTCTTCAAATGTTCCAACTATAAAGGTATACATACAGAGGAGCTGTTGTGTTTCTCTATCAGGAAATTAGCTAAAAGCAAACAGGCAAAAGAAAAATACCGTGGAATGTTTTGTTTACCAGGCAATGAGCCTGTGAGACTCTAAGAAACTTCTGCGAGAAAAATAATCCAAGAAAACCCTCTAAGTCCACTATGAAACAAGCCACTTTGAAAACAAATTGCTGTCCTTCATTTTTCTTCTCTTTCCCTGATAAACAGTTTTTAAATTGGTTTATAAAAAAAACTACTTGGTACCCAACAGAAAAAGAAAATCTAAACATTTTGTAGTCATGTCATACTGTAGGGAGAAACACTTGGAGAAAATGAAGCTGTGTGAAAGAGAACAGAAACTAAAATCCAAAAACCAAACAAAGTTTAAAAAAAAAAAAAGTGAGAATAAGGGAAAACAGCAAGTGGAAAGTTTTCAAAACCTCTAAGAAAGTTCTGAAGTAAGCCACTTCCTATCACATTCTCTTTAAAAATGGAAAGGGCACTAATCCAGTCTGGGATGGACAGGGTGAGGTCTTCCAGGCCAGAAGGAAACGAGTCCCCAAGTCAGGTAGAGAGAATGCTAAGAAACGGGCCCAATGCCACTTAAGCGTTTCCTCCCCTGACCAAGTCTCTGGCTCCCTACCACGGAGAAGCTGGAGCCAATCACAAAACCCTCCGGCTGAGAGCCAGCCTTCCCTCTCACACTGCTCTTCCCCCAAACTGCATTCCAAAACAAAAAGAATAAAATGCATTGAAAAGTGGTATTAAAATTAAAACAGACCCAACTGAGGCAAGAGAAAATTCAAGGTGCAACCTGGTACACACAACTTTTCCTTCTGAGAGATGAGGGGCAGCGGGCGAGTCTTCTTGAAAATCAAAATAAAAGCTTGCTTTTGCAATCTGTTTAAGAGATAAATAAAACTCTGCCTTTGAGATACTTCCTAGATACTTCCTAGATTCCTAGGTTTTACGCTGTTTTCCAGCACAGTCCTCTTGAAACTAATCTGCGCTTCTGTAATGAAGATCCCTGGGTAATTAGCCCACGGATGGGCATTAACCACCCCGGACACCGCTGAGGGCGGTAGAGAAGCTCCCGTTTGCAAATAACAAGTTTTCATAAAGGAGTTGCTTATTATGAGAATATGCATCCCAGAAAGGTTATGTACCAGCGGCGCAACAGCTACCTCTTGCCTGTCAATGTCAATTCATCAGGAACTGGGGTTGCCGTGGGGATGGAAGGAGAAGGGTGAAGGGCCCTATTGAAAGACTAAGCGATCAGGCGACTTACATCCCCAAATTCACGACGCCAGCCAAGGGAGGCATTCTCAAGAAGCCATTTCCAGGGAAGCTGGATTCAAAATGTAATTTCTCAGATTGAGTCTCCTACTACGTAGTCTCCTAACGGCCAGGCCCCGGCTTGCGAAGGAGGGGTGTTAGTGGTGAGAGTTTACCTTAGAAGGCGGCAGCGGACAGACAGGCCTTTCAAAGCCACCAGGGCTCTGCCCGGAGGCCCAGGGTGACGCGGAGGGGCAGGAACAGTGCGCGGCTGGGGGCCCCGCGGCGCCACAGGTTCCCCAGAGCGCAGCGGGACCGGACTCCCACAGGTGGGCGGCGAGAGCGGGGGGGACGCCCCAGTTCCCCGGGGACGCGTGGGCTGGGAGGGCTTATCCTTAAGGAAGCAGGGCGAGAGGGAAGCTCGGGGTTTTCAGCTGTCTGGTTCTCCCTCAGCTGGGTGGTTACAGGCTTTTCCCCAAGGCAAGAGGAGTCCAGGCGAGGAGAGGAGAAGCATGCACCTCCCACCCTCCTCCCGGCGAGCCTCGGCACCCTCCTGGGGCGCGGTTAAGCCGCACCACCGCGGGCCACCGTTTGCATGCTCCCAGGCACGTAGGAGCCTGCACGACCACATGCGGGCGGGGGAAGGGCGCCCGGGGACCGAGGAGACCCGACCCAACCCGATCCCGCTACGGCTCACCCCCGCCCCTCGCCCCCGCACCCCTCACCCGTGTTGGCTTTGATGTTCTCCCGCAAGAAGTGGCCGCTGGAGAGATGCTGGAGACCAAAGCTCTGAGCGATCCTCTGGCACACGGTGCCCTTGCCCGAGCCGGGCGGCCCAAGGATGACCGCGCGCAGGAGTTTGGAAGCCATTGCCTTCGCCAGGCAGGGAGGGGGCGGCCAAACGGACAACCCGGACAGCGGCCTCAGAGAAGCCCGGGGAACTTTATGGCTTCTGCTTCTGCCTCTGCCACTCTCCGCTCGCGCGGGGACTCGCCGGGCGCCCCTGCAGGGGGAAGGAGTGACTTTTGAGACAACCCCTCCCTTCAGCCCCGCGCCGGGGCCGGCTCGAAGGCGGAGAAAGGCGCCACGCTACCCATCCCCGCCCTCCTCGCCCCCACGCCGCGATTCAGGACAAGTCCGGAGTCCCCGCCCCTGGCGGGGTCGGACTCGGGGGCTCTGAGGGCGGCCCGGCCAGGCCCACCTCTATCCCTTCCTCTTTCGTTTCCCACGCGGCGTTCGAGGAAGGGGCCGGGCGGCCTGGCACCCCCGCGCCAGTCTCCACCGAGGGGGACGCCGGGAGGGGCGGTGACTCCAAGCGCGCCCCCAGTCGCCCCACGCACCGGTCGGCCTGGGGGCTGAGCCCCTGCCCCTACCCTCGCACGTGGGCAGCGCTGAGTCTGCGCCGCGGCCCCTCCCCAGCGGCTGTCAATCCCCGGGAGTCGCCACGGCCCCCGCCGCCCGCGCGGACCGCCCAGCGCCCACCTCCGCCGAGGGCGGACGGATGCGCTCCCCGCCGCGGGGAACCCGAGTCCGACGCCTCTCCACCCCAAGCAGTCAAACACACACCTCGTCTGGGACGCGGCGCTCCGAGAGGCTTCCAGCCCGGATCCCGCTGGGCGGCGCCGCCTCCGCCCGCCCCCACTCAGAGCCCCAGCCGGCCGCGCGGGACTCGCGCCTTACGTAAGCCGGGGAGACAGGCTCAGCGCGAGCTGTCGGCCGGCGCCCCCTCCCCTTCCCGCCGCTCGGCTCCCACCCCGCCCTCCCAGCCCACGTGCTCCCCACCACCCTGCGGGGGGCGCCAGGACTCAGACCCACCTCTTGCACTCGCCCGGGGACCCCGTTTTTACTGTCAAGGGGAAGGAAAAATACAACTTGTTGAGTGCCTACTATGCGTCAAGTTCAGGGCTAGTGGTTTCCTTACGCAACAACCGTTCCAGATATTCACAGATGAGGAAAGGAGGCTTGGAGTATCGCCATTCATTCAACAAACGTTTGTTGATCTCCTACCGTGTTCCAGACACTGTTTTAGGCGCTTGGCATATAGCTGTGAATCAAAGAGGTGGAATCTTGCCCAGAGTGCAGCGGGAGTTTTGAACCCTCATCTGCCTGGCTCCAAAGCCCAGGCTCTTTGGGGAAGAAGGAAGGAGGAAATGGTCACTCACCTGGGCTCGGGGTTTTTAGAGCCTACTAATTTCAGGACTTCAGGGCCCAGGATGTTGGCACTACAATTAACAATTCACTCAGTCCCAGGGGCACTATCTCCTCCCTCCCTTCCCCTGCGTATCCCCATCCATATTCTCTTAAATCTGCTCCCACTCCCCACATGGCCCTCATTTCCCACTGAGATTAGTGTGATAACTGCCAGCCCATGTAAGCTGCTAGCTTCCGCTAGTCTATCCTCAATGCAACCGCCAGAGACATTGGTAAAGTGCAAATCAATTTCTATTATTTCCTCACCTCGGATAAAAATCATCCCTTCAGGATAAAAAATCTTACAAAGGGACACACAGGTGCCTGCCAAAAACCTTTGCAAATTCCCCTGCCCCCTCCTCTTTCTACAGGCCTCCTGCCTTTCAGGAAATCAGTGCAGGATTTTCAGTGCAACTACCCATGGCTCACAGACGGGAAGGGAGAACCTCCTCTAGAGTCCTGGCTGCACTGTTTGTGTTGGGAGCTGGGTGAGGAAGAGTGTGGCAGAGTATTCCTTTCTGCCCCTCCCTGGCATCTTCAGCCCTTCTCCTTTAGTAAGTTCTCCATAGACAGACAGCCAGACAGTGCCTAGCCTCTGGCTACCTGGGAGCACACCCAGGCCACCCACTTCAGGCCAGTGTTTGTTCCATAGGCTCATCCCCTTGTCAAAAATATCTCAGGGGCGCCTGGGTGGCGCAGTCGGTTAAGCGTCCGACTTCGGCCAGGTCACGATCTCGCGGTCCGTGAGTTCGAGCCCCGCGTCGGGCTCTGGGCTGATGGCTCAGAGCCTGGAGCCTGTTTCCGTTTCTGTGTCTCCCTCTCTCTCTGCCCCTCCCCCGTTCATGCTCTGTCTCTCTCTCTGTCCCAAAAATAAATAAATGTTGAAAAAAAAATTAAAAAAAAAAATATCTCAGAGTTTGCTGTAGACATCAGGAGGTTGTTACCCTGAACCCCTTCAGCCCTTCACCTGGGAACAAAGAGAGAGAAGAGCTTATGGGAATGTGGGAGTGACTTCAATCTTGCCTCTTCTTCCCTCCATATGCTGTATAATATATAGCAGATACTTTGCAGTCCTCCTCAGACATGAGCATGCTTCAGAATCACTCAGAGGGCTTGTTAAAATAGATTGCTGAGCTCCTTCCTCACATTTTCCGAATCTGTGGGTCTGAGGTGGGCACTTCTAACAAGTTCCCAGATACTGCTGAGGCTGTGGGTCTGGAGATTAGCGCTGGAAACCCGTGATTTCCACACTTTGAAAACCAATGGTCTACCACATTGAGCATTGAGACGTGGAAGATGTGTGGCTCTTAATTCCTCTGCCTGCTATGGGACTTTTGGCTCTTAACCTGTTTGTTTGTTTGTTTGTTTGTTTCTTTTTCTTTCTAAAATGAGGACATTGGATTTAGTACTCCCAAAGATTCCTTTGTATTTATCAAGCATCGGGATTGTGTGAGTTCCCACAGGAAATAGTTTCTAGTCCTTACAAACTGGATGAACCTTCCCTATCACCGAGTTCTTTTGCCTACTTTTGAAATGTCTTTACCAACATCACCTTATAATATCATGGAGCAGTGTTAGCCACTCATGCAGTCCTAGCATTTAGTGGTTTAGGAGTTTAGGAGATTATATTATGAAACAGAAGGAGTTGTGACATAGGTAAACTCAATAGAGAAACCCAGCTGAGATTTGAACCTAGCATTTCACAAAAGAGCCATCCACGGACCTTCCCCGTGCACCGCCAACTCAGGGTCCCACAGCTCAGCTGCTTATTGGAAGCAGTAGAACTGGAAGAAATGGGTTTTGGAGTCAAACATCCCTGGGTTTAAGTTGCAACAGCGCCATTCACTAACTCTGAAGTCTCTTGATTGCTGTGAGCCTTGGTTTGCTAATCTGTAAAAGGGAGCTAATTCTTACCTCTTAGGCTTGTGGGGAGGCTTAAATGAATTAATGTACATACAGGATTTAGCACAGTGCTGGGCATATAATAAGGACTCAGTCATGAACATCATCACTATTATTAACTTTGGGACAACTATTTAGCTTCTCTGATCTCAGTTCCCAAATTGCAAGGAATAAATGAGCTAATGTGACAAAGTTATTTAGTAAACTTCCTGGCCCTTGGAAAATACTCTATAAATGGTAGGTATTCTTATCACACATACACTCCTATCATCAACTTCTTCCTATTTCCTTTGCCTAGGGTTTTAAATCTGTTTATATTATTTATCATAGTGTACAAAAGAATATACATCTACGTGTCTGTCTCCTCTAGAGACAAACTGTAAACTCATTCTGAGAGTAAGTCCAAATTTTATTCATCTTTCTATCCTCAAAAATATACAGCACTTTGCCTTCAATAAGTACTCTGTCAATGTTGGCAAACCTCCCCCTCCCCTTCTCCTAACATACTCAACCTCAAACCCTGGCACAGAGCTCTCTGTGACTTCACTGGACAGTAATACAAAGTCTACATTTGATCACATTTTACACACTTCTTCCTCAGATTCTCTTATCTAGACTGCAGTGTCCTTGTTTAGTAAACTTGAGTCATTTCCATATTACTTTCGCAGTTTTGCTATGACCTTGTACTGCCTTGGTTCTTATCCGCTTATCATGTTTCTTTATATCGACTCAATTTGTTTAAATAATTTATTTTAAAAAACTGAATATAACTCACTAACCATAAAGGGACACACTAAAATAATATGAGAAAAATAAGGCTAGCAAATTCTAGCTGGAATCTACCAATCTAGCCTGTTGAATTTCTGAACTTAGTCCTTATTAAAAAAAAAAAAAAGTAAGGGGATTGTTCACCAAGTCATAGACAGGCGTTTAAGACATACAGCATCTAAATGAAACTTTTTGTAATGAAACTTTATCTGTAATCACATAGCTCAAAATAGAATTAGAAAGAGAATACTGAGAAGAATTTCTTAATATTCAGTTTAATTGTATTAAACTGAAGCCAGTTTGGGGCGCCTGGGTGGTGCAGTCGGTTAAGCGTCCGACTTCAGCCAGGTCACGATCTCGCGGTCCGTGAGTTCGAGCCCCGCG